GCATTAAATTGAGGCTTTTATTTAGCATAGATAGATTCATTCGATTTATGTTAAAAATGTGCAATAAGTTTTTTTTCATTTTGAAAATAATGTAATTATACCTCTCTAATGCCATACCCTATCCCTATTGGCAAAAACTTTGGACAATCCATTTACACAGGCTTCTCTTGAAGTCAATTCTTCAGCAGCCAAATCATTCGCCATAGACAGCAACAGATGGCAAACACTTGGTGTGAGGTCTGCACTATAAGGTTTATGCATAGAGTTGAATAAAGTTGCTGCAGCTGCTTAGGCCAATTAGCCCATTCTGATACCGTTGTGAAGCTCCTAGCTCAGCGAGCCATTTGAAGTAGTTTTTTCCAAGGAATATGTGTAGCGCAGATGTCAAACCTGGATAGTGTTAGAGGTAATATTCAATAGACTCCTCTTCTTCTTCGTCCCTAAAATCATTACGGTGATAGTCCATTTTTTTCCCGTGAAGCGCCCTTAAATTATGATCTATTATTATGTGTGTCTTTATGTTAATGGAGAACTGGTCTAGAACGATAAGAGGTTTTGATTTTTAGTGTCTAACTCTGGCAATAGCTGTCTGGTCACGTTTCGCGTGTTTTCATTAAGTCATCTTGGGTCTACTTCTTTGGGGGAAAACCAGTTTAAGCATATACTTTTCCGTGGGCAAAGGTTAACCTGCATGTGCATGTTTTGTTGTGAATATTAGGGTTCCGTTTCTCAATAATTCGTCTGCCATGCAACTGCCTGAGATATCTCTGCGTCCAGATCCCCAGACCACGGCAGCGTTGCATTTAGTCGAGAGAGAGTCGAGTTCAGTTCCTTCGGTACTTTTGCAAGAGATACTATTTTAGTGCGTCCTATACTATAAGTCTTCCAAGCTTAAGTGGCATTCTCTTTGGCTTTGCAGCTCGCCTTTGATTTCCCGTATAGGTCCAGGGGAAGTACGTTGAGAAGAGTTAGCAGTGCTTTTGAAGGTTTATACATGAATACCACCCAGTCAATTTCTCGGAGCTCCTGGTGAGTCACTATCGTTGTGTGTGGCCTTGCGTAGGCCGTATGAAACCCAGTTTCCCTCCTATTGGCCCAAGCTAATCTAGTCGAGTTTAATTGCTGTCAGTACAGGTATGAATTAAGGCAGCTCATCGTGGATGATTCCTTATCAATACCATCAGACATACAATTAAACCTGCCTGGCCTCTTATCCTGGCTGGGAGACCATTTGTGGTAGTTCACGGCGCTGCGACCACGGCTGTTTTCATTTAACTTTGCTGTAAGTGCTTCACATTTCATCACCAGTCATCAACCGCTTCGTTTTAGTTACGATTAATCAACAATTCGTAGATGGAAACTTGGTCCAGTATTTTTCAAATGTTCTCCCCTTTTTTTGTTATGTTTAGCTCTCGAGCTCTTGCTCCCAGGATAGTCAGACTAGACGATTTCCATTTCGGACTATAAGGTGGATGCCTTAGGACCTCACATCCGAGCTCCTGAAGCTTTTGGCGCGTCACCAAAGACGTGTGTGACCTGTTGTTGTGCTGATGGAACACAATTCGGCCTCTGTTGATCAAAAATTGCCTCTTCTAGATGAATGCTGCCTTCAAGCGGTCCATTTGTTGGCAATAGAGTGCCGAATTGAGCGTTTGGCCATAGGGGAGCAGATCGTAGTTGATGATTCCTTGCCAATCCAACCAAACACACATCAAAACCTTCTTGGCCGTCAATCCGGTCTTGGCCACCGTCTGGGCCGCTTTCCCGAGCTGTGACCACGACCGTTTGCGATCGATGTTGACGTACGAGTAAGTGACCCATTTTTCATCGTCAGTTACAAAGCGCCTCAGAAACGTGTTCATTTTGTTACGATTCAGCATCGATTCTCAGATGGAAATTCGATCCATCGTGCAAATGGTTCCAAACGGTTTTCTGGCTCATCTTTAGCTCCTCAGCAATTAAATAAATGCTCACGTGTCGGTCTGTTTCCACTATTTCCATGATTTTATCGCAATTTTCGACTCAGGCCTCCCGACGCGTGGTGCATCTTTGACATCGAATTTACCGGAACGGAACCTAGCAAACCACTTTTGTGCTACACGTTCGTTTACAGTATCGGGCCCATAAGCTAAATTAATTTTTTCAGCCACTTTGGCTGCTTTTTCGCCTTGATCGAAGAAAAATTGTAAAATATAGCGAATTTTCTCTTTGCTGGTGTCCATCTCTGACGAGCGCTCACAACCTACTGAGTCAATCAATCGAAAAACTGTCAAAGACAAACTTTTAGCGCAAATAAACATGTTTTCAGCGCCGTATAGTATGATAAGATGACACACGTAAGACTAGTACTATGGACTTTAACAATGGACAATAAAAACCGAACGAACTTTTTACTTGACCTAATATATAATGAAATCTGGCACCTTTATTAAGTGACAAAGACTTTACAATATATTCGTACTGAAAAGTACGGTAATTTTTTCTAAATCTGTTATTTCTCTATTAAAAATTTCAAACTTTGCACTTTAATCCAATCCGAATGAAATTACTAAAACTTACATATATGTAAATGTACGTGTTGACTGCAATTTTGTAACTCTTTTTAATTATAAGTTTTTATCGTTATTGCCCTTCGATTACAAACTTTTAGGTTTTCATACACTTACATACACTCAAATGTAGACATTTGTAAAATTGTTGTAAACTCACATCGCTTTGCCTACATAACAGCAATTCATAATGCAAAAGTCACAGTGATTCGATAACAGAATGTATCAATGACACAAATTATTATATGTATATATTTGTATGTAAGTAGTAAATGAACTTAGAAGAACGCCAGGTAAAAAAAAAAAATTTTAAAGAAATTAAAAAAAATATATATATAAAAATACTGCAAACGTAAATGTATTAAAAATATATTTAATTTCAATTTTCTTTCAAAATTTTTCTATTTAAATACAAATTTGTTAGTGTGATTTATTAAATAAAAGCTGTTAGTATTTCCAACAATTCGAAATTATTATGAAATATTACTTTAAAATCATCTCATTATGCCACTTTTATATGAAATCGACACCCCGATTACATAAATACCATTTATACTTAAAATACATACATATATGTAAGTAATATTTCTAATTTAGTCAAATTTGAATGAGCAGAAAAGTATTGGTTTGTCAGAAAACTGAGAAGCGCAACCAACCGCAAATGAAATCACGTAAATTTACAGATCAAATATATCAACGGAACCGCAACAAAGGCAGTGTTAAAGTGAAGGTTTATACTATATTTTTCTTATTTATTTTTTTTGTATTTCCTTATTGCTTTTTTTAATTTAATTTAATGAGTTGAGCTGATTCAGAGCAAGAATGATGTTTTTCCAACCAATAGAGGGACCTACAGCTGCCTCCGAAAATACACATGGAGGGCTTAATGTCCTCTGCCGTGGGCGACTGTACTTGTAATTAAAAGAATTAACTTAATTTCTTATTTGAATTATTTTTTTTTAATTTTTGACGTTCGAGTCCGACACACTGGCATTTCGAAGAGCAGTAGGCAATACGAGATTCAATAATGTAATTAAATGTGTGCTGCAAAAGTATACAAGTTAATTTAGTTTCATTCAGTTTTATTTATTTAAATTCAAAAACATTTTTTTTTTTAATTTAACTCGGCTCGATTAGACTCCTCTTGCTTCGATCATTCCAGGAAAATTCTGAGAAGGAGATGTGGTGATCTCCGAAACAGTTGTCGCTCCTACCATTTTTCGTTATGGTTACCCCTTTATATATTGCGGTATTAGGGAATAATTTCAAAATCGTTTTGTTGTTTTTTAAATATATACTCCATTAGTATCAATAAACTTTTTCATGCTTTCGAACCAATTGGCGAACCAGTTTTGCCAGGTTTTCAGGTGTCGAATACGCAAAATGATAACAAATCATTCGGTGTCAAGTTCAGATTATAGAATAACTCATCCCAGTTCGTTGTCACGATGTGTGAGGGCTCGCATTGTCATGGTGAAAAGTGATCTGTGGCGGTTGATTTTCCTGATTTCTTAAAAGGCAACTGGCAAATCGGGCAGAGCCTTTTTTCGAACACTTGACAAATTGTGTGGGATCCAGCATGAACAACTTTTTTATAGTCAAATAGTCAAGCGATATTGAATGTATTAGGGTCCCACTAATGCCTATAGGTTTCTTAATCACACCACAGGTCACATGACGGTATTGAAAAATCAGTTTGTGCATAGTATAAATTTTATTCTAATTTATTTTTTAATTTTATTTTATTTTATTTCGTTTTAATTTATATTTTTAATTTTGTTTATTTCAATTTATTTAGTTTTATATATATATTTTTTTATTCTAATTTATTTATTAATTTTATTTTGTTTAATTTTTTATTTTAATAAATTTTATATTATTAATTTTTATATATTTTATTTTATTTTTTTTCAGTGTGTTTTATTTTATTTAAATAAATTTTATTTTAGTTTATATATTTAATTAATTTAATTAAATTTATTTTTATATATTGTATTTTATTTAATTTTATTTAGTTAATTATGTTTTGTTTTATCTTATTTTATTTTAATTTACTTTACTTCGTTTAATTTTATTTCATTTTATTGCACTTCCTTTTAGTTCACTTTATTATTTATTTCAATTTTTACTTTATTTCAGTTAATTTTACACTATTTTATTATAATAAATTAATTTTTTTACTTTGGTTTTAAAAAATTTTATTTTATATGATTAATTTCATTGTATTTTATTTTATTATATTTTAGTCAATTTTTTTAATTTAAATTTATTTTAATTTATTTGATTTTTTACATTTTTTTATTCTTTTGTTTTATAATATTTTATTTTTTTCATTTATTTTAATTTGATTTTATTTTATTTTACTTTAATAAATTTTATTGTAAAACATTTATTTTTGTTGTATTTTATCGGATATTATTTACTTAATTTAATCTTAATTTTTTTTTTTAGTTTCGGCAAAGCTTGTTGTTGCAATGATGCCTGGAAGGAGTCGGCGCTTAATTTTCAATATTTTTGGATCATGTTTGATCTTATTAGGCTTAGCAAATATTTTATTTAGCGAAAGCTTTTTCAATAAATTTTTGGAAAAGGTAAGTGCAGATACTCCTACCATCGCTTATACTTATTGATCCTACGTGTTGTTGGCATTTTTAATATCCTCCAAGAGTGCTTCTGCTGGTCTTTGCCTATACACTGTCAGATTTTCATAAAATTATAATGAATGCTCTTCAATATTTTATCTTATTTGGTTTCTCTTTATTTATTTTAAAAGGAAATGATTTTGAGCCCTGGTTCGAAAACATTCGAGTTATGGAAGAAGCCACCGTTGAATATAAAACTGGACTTCTACTTATTCAATTGGACGAATCCAGAAGACTTTGACAAACCTTATATTAAGCCAAAGTTTGAAGAATTAGGACCATATCGCTTCATGGAAGTGCCGCATAAAGTTGATATCAAATGGCATCCACAGAATGCCTCGATGAGTTATAAGAAGCAAAGTAAATACTATTTTGATGCTGAAGGCAGCAAAGGAAGCTTGGATGATGAAATAGTGACCGTAAATTCCTTGGCAGTGGTGAGTAAAAAAATTGCATTAGAGTATGAATAAATAATAATAAGATCCCTCCCTTACAGTCACTATCATCCAAGGCGAAAAACTGGAATCTATTGCGTCGCAAAGTGATCGACATGGCTCTGAATGTCTACAATGACGATATTTCCATTAGGAAGACTGTGAATGATCTGCTCTTCGAGGGCTATGAAGATGTGCTCTTGAATTTGGCCAATTTTTTGCCCAGTTCGTTGACCGAAGTAAAAGTGCCTTTCGATAAATTCGGCTACTGCTATCCGGTAGGCAGTTTTGTGTGGCAGTTAAGAAGATTTCTTAAATTCCAGTTTATCTTCTCTTCTTTCTCTAGCGCAATTATAGCGCCGATGTTACAGGTATTTTCAATATTCACACCGGCGCTGATGATATACGAAAATTTGGTCAGGTGCACACGTGGAACTACAAGGATACGACAAATGCTTATGCTCCGGAATGCGCGAAAGTTTATGGCTCAGCTGGAGAATTTCAATCATTATATCTACAGCCAAACAAACCGGTGGATTTCTTCTTGTCGGACATTTGTCGCAGCGTTAAAATGGATTATGTGGAAGCAACAGAGGTGGAGGGCATACGAGGTTACCGATATGAGGGTGGCAAACGCATGGTCGATAATGGTGAGTGATGCGGACGGTGACCTACCAGGACAGTTCGCGGGAAGTGTCGATTTGCTTTAGGTCTATGGATTATTTTTTGGGTTTTGTGACGTTAAGGACGGTTATGGTGTAGTGCACTTTGTGGAAGTCATGGTGATCTGCTTCTGAGTTCAGGTGGTGAGTGAATGACGGGAGTAGCAGACCTCAAAAGCATCCGCTACGAGGGAGAGAAAAGATATCGGCGAGTACGATTCTCCTTTGTTGGCTGGTTTCCCGGCTTTCATAGGCAGACCGCTCTGCACTGTCTCCACATGTTGGGTATTATTCAGCTTTTGCTGTACCCAGTGTAAAAATTCCGTTAAAATAGCTCGCCCATTTCTTCGGGTCCAACGAGGCGCGGTCACCAAATGAAATGTCCACTCGTTCGCTGCGGCTCGGATTCGACAATGATTTGACGTTGGCCCATGGCTTGGTTGCGTGAGAGGAGAGGTTGTAGGATCTTTAGTAATATCTCTAAGCGTATTTCCTAAGTGATGTGACTCTACGCCGTTTTGGCATGTGGTGGATGCTCGATGGATTTATTTGAGTAGTGGTTAGGGGTAATTAGGATATTTAGTGGTATCATAGTGACCCCTTTTGGAAACTCAAGTGAGCTTATACCCGATCTACATTATAGTATAACACAGAACTTAAAGTGTGGGTCTCGTGGAGATTCTGGGTAACCACCACCCGGTCAAGTGGAGCTGGATGGAGGTGAGAAGGTTGGTAGTCCTACTCGCTTATTCAGTCCGAAATAGCCATACCGTGTACATTCTAATACAGTTGATAGCTGCTGAAATAAGTTGCCCCGAACTCCTACTATTTTCTAAGCGTGACTCGAACAATATATAAATTTTTATGAGGAACCTTTCATTTCCTGTCAAAAACACAATCGGGGCGGCTGACATTTTCTACCGAGCGGTGTTTGCATTTAGAAAAACGAAGTTCCTACAAATTGGTCTTAAGAAAATTCGAACCCAATATCCTCCGCACGGGCAATCGGGCCTCTCTTGCGAGAACCGGAGTTAAGCCATTATTAAAAGGCATGCTAGTAGGCTAAGGCTGGAATTCTCACAAGAATCTAGTCTGGACCGTGTAGGGTCTGGCAAAGGACTGATACTACCGAAACTACCATAATAATAACAACAAAGAAAAACTATGATGAACAAAATTTAGTAAAAATCCTGGATATTTACATATTTCTCATCTCTCATTTCAGGCACACTATATCCGGAAAACGTATGCCACTGCAATGGCATGTGTGTGCCTTCGGGTTTAATTAACATCTCCTCCTGTTGGTTTGGCTCCCCCATGTTTCTGTCATATCCACACTTTCACGATGCAGATCCCACATATCTCAGCCAAGTGGACGGCTTAAAGCCGGAGAAGGACAAACATGAACTCTATTTGGTGTTGGAACCCAAGTCCGGACTACTATTAGACATGGCAGCGCGTCTTCAATCGAATATATTAATCGAGCCTATCGCACATTTCAAGTAAGTGGTGAAGAAAGCTTCTGCATACGCTATTTTTTATTTTACATATATTTTCCCCACATCTCTTACACATAGATTATTCAAGAATAAGCGACGTATTTTCTTCCCGCTCTTCTGGTTCGAAGCACGCACTCGCGTCCCATTAGACTTGACTGGCGAATTCAAATTGTTGCCCAGAGCCATTTTGACTGCTCAAATATTGGGTGGCTTCAGCATATTGGGTGGCTTAATACTCCTGGCCTGGTATCCCATCAAAGTGCATTTACAAAATCGTCTTATACAACAAATAAAAATCAACAATTTGGATAGTCAGACGCATCATCAAATTGTGGGCAAACAAATTTCTTTGCAACCAGAGGTTTCACCACTTTTGGTCAGCTCGGTACAAGCGAATGCGAAAATATTGGAGCGCGCCGATACGGAGATCTCGACTTTGAGTATTGACGCATGTACGAGCTCAACGGATCGCAGTTCAATGCAGTCGACAACGAGCTCAACGTGATTGGCTCTTAATTATAGCTGGTTCCTTATTAATTATAAGCTTGAGTGTGTGTGTGTGTGTGTGCGTGTATGTGTGGTAATTGAAGTCTATTTTAATTTCAGTAATTATGGTTTTTTTTCACTTCATTCAGGTTGATACTTTTTATGCTCGTTACTTATATGTAGCATTGTAACCATTTGTCATTTGCATATGTATGTGTGTATACCCTCATTTTTGCATAAAATTATTTAATTGTAGAAAACCCATCACCCTTAGTTACCTATTTAGAGGTTAGGTTTGTAAACATTCCCTAGATTCCATAATTTTATAAGGCAATTCGCCTCAATTCGTTTACTCTAGTTACCCTTGAACTTTTATTCTACAAAAGCATGTATGTATGTATATTTACTAATACTGTATAAATCATTGTTTTTAAAAACCAAAGCATTATTGTTAAACTTTTGTAAAAAAAATTAAAAAAAAAAAAACATGTTTTGGCTAGGAAATTGTATAAATAAAAGAAAGTACTGAATTGAAATTTTTAAATGAATTAATTTCAAAGATTATTTCCCTTTTGTTAAGAAAATTAAAGTGAAGAATAATCTTTATTGTGTTCATGATTTAATAATTAGAAGTTCATTGATTTCCCTTGAGGCCAATACTTCAGGAGCCAAATAATTCACCGCAGACAGTAACAGATGGAAGTCACTTGATGCGAGATCCACAATAAGAGGTAGGATGCAAAAGAACATCCCAAGCAAGCTCTCGCAACTACTGGCGAGTTAAGGGGCACACATAGTGTGAAATTTCAAAAAAATCGATTTTTTTTCATATTTCGGTAGATTCCACCTTTAGAAATAACATATTGAAATTTCAAATCGATATCTCAAATAGTTTTTGCATTAAAGCATAGCAATTTAAAGAGCAGCCGCTCGGCAGCTAGAGGGTCTCATTAGCTACGAGTGAAAAAGATCATTTTATTGGGTTGCCCAAAAAGTAATAGCGCATTTTTTAAAAGAAAGTAAATGCATTTTTAATAAAACTTAGAAAGAACTTTAATCTAATATATAATTGCCATTTTGTTCGATAACCTTTTGCCATCTTCCTGGCAAATTTAGTATTCCACGCTCATAGAACTTCTGGCCTTTATCTGTAAAAAACTGAGCCAAGTGCGATTTTAAAGCCTTATCATTGCCGAAAGTTTTACCATTTAAGGAGTTCTGCAAAGATCGAAATAAATGGTAGTCTGATGGTGCAAGGTCAGGGCTATATGGTGGATGCATCAAAAGTTCCTAGCCAAGCTCACTCAGTTTTTGGCGAGTGACCAAAGATGTGTGCGGTCTAGCGTTGTCCTGGTGGAATATGACACCTTTACGATTGACCAATTCTGGTCGCTTCTCCTTGATGACTGTATTCAATTTGTCCAATTGTTGACAGTAAACATCCGAATTAATCGTTTGGTTCCTTGGAAGCAGCTCAAAATATACGACACCCTTCCAATCCCACCAAACAGACAGCATAACCTTTTTTTGGTGGATATCAGCCTTTGAAGTGGTTTGAACTGGTTCACCATGCTTGGACCATGATCGTTTTCGACTAACGTTGTTGCAAACAATCCATTTTTCATCTCCAGTTATGATTCGTTTTAAAAACGGATCGAATTCATTGCGTTTAAGGTGCAAGTGAATTTCTTTCAATACATGTGGTACCCAAATATCAAGCTTTTTCACCAGTCCAAGACTTTTTATGTGATAATGAACGGTTGATTTTGGTATATTTAACTTCTCTCCTATCTCACGCTCAGTTACATGACGATCCAATTCGATTAATGCTTTGATTTGGTCATCATCAACTTCATTTGGCCGACCTGAACGTGGCTCATCTTTAAGTGAAAAATCTCCAGAACGGAATTTGCGAAACCAATTTTGACACTGTCTTCCTTTTAAGGCTTCATCACCATACACATCTCGTAACTTTTTAGCAACCTGCTCCGCGCTTTTTCCTTTACGGAAATAATAAAGTAAAATATTACGAAAATGCTCCTTTGTGGGCTCCATATTAAAATTGACGCCAAACAAACAAATGTAAACAAAATTTCGCGCACTTTTTTTCTAAAGCCAGCTAAAAGTAACAGCTGATAACTGACAGAAGAATAAATGCAATTACAGAGTCACAAGCCGTTGAAAAATTTTGTCAACGCCGACTATATGAAAAATCCGCAATTACTTTTTGGGCAACCCAATATCTTTAAACGCGTTTTTCTCGAAACAGCATTTTCCGAATTTGCTGCAGTGATTACTTAAAAACAAATGATACGATCAGTAGCGATTTTTTTTTACATGCTTTATATATAGTTCTCCGGACAATGGCCTATCGATTTTTGATCTGATTAAAAAATCGAATTTTGTCAGGCCAAAAACGACCAAAATTTTGGGTAAAATTCGACTATTTTTTTTTAAAACGTCACCATATTGTCAATTTTTGATTTTTTTTTATCATTGTACAGACAATATTATCTAGTAGAGAATTTTTTTTAGATTGCATCCACGGAGAAGGCCGGAATCACTGCAGCAGTGATGGACCATTTTTTTGCGCCGTTGGATATCGACTATAACTTAAAAAATATTTAATTTTTTTCTTCAAAAATTTCACTGTATCTTCTTGAAACATGCATAAATATATTCTCAAAATTTTGAAATAATTGATAAAGTAATTTTTTTTTAGTAAAAATTCCCAAAAATCACCTTTTTTAGGTCATTACACTGATGAAACTCAATTCCCCTCCTGCTAGCCAAAATTGGGTTGTTTTGGAGAATTCTTTCCCTCAGACTGCGAATAAAGATTTTGACCTCAGTGGAACAGGCCATAGTTGATGAATGCTTGCCAGTCTCACCCACCACACAATGAAACCTGCCTAGAGCTGTCAATTTTAAATTTTTAAAATCCGACCTAAGATTCGTGATCAGCGATTCAGAAAACCACTAGGTATCGTGTTTTATTCTAATTGTTTTAAATATGTAAGTTCTACTTACACACCTTTGTTTGAGCGACACGAAGGACGGAACAATGACGAAACGGGAAGGTCTTTGTGACATTTAGTACAGCTATATTTGTGGCAGCCGCGGCAGCTAAGTGGCTAGCATTCTGTACTGCGATTCGGAAGGCTCGGGTTCAAATCCTGATGTCGTGTTAACATCGAAAAACTTATAGAAAATTTATTTAAATCAGAAGTTAAATTTTCTGATTGGGGTTGCCCCTGGGCAGGGAATGTGCACCCCTCTGAGTGTAAAGCTTCTCATAAAAAATCATCAGTCGTTCGGAGGCGGCTTTGTATAAATAGTAGGTTTCTCCATTTGTTGGAAAAATATCAAGACGCAAAACCACAAATTGGACGAGGAGCTCGGCCGAAAATCACTTCAGCGGTTGACGAAAGTCTTACCACAAGCCGCATTAAAGTTGTCTTTTTATACGGAAGAATGGGACGATGTGTACAAAGATTTCTACTATGAGCTCATTGATGAATACATTTACGAGTGATAGGATGAAGGTTAGATGTAGGAAAGTTGTAACCACAAAAAATAGCTAAATATTTTCTACTTGACTTGCACTTCTGCTCTCTGCGAGCACTTATCAACAACTCGATATAAGGAACTCGAAGAGGAAATATACTATCTACCTCCCGACGTTGTGTTCGAACGTAAAAAAAGACAGAGTCGCAAAGGGAAGCACGACGAATTTATGCATAAAGAGCTTAAGGAGCTGATCGACAGAGGTAGTTCTCCAAATGTTTTAAAGAAAATGCTGCTGGTTTCTAGACCGGAGGATATTCATATAAAGGGTGATTTTTTAAGAGCTATAGCAAAATTTTAAAAAAAAAAAACACATAAAATTCAGAAAAATGCATGAAATCTTTATTTGAATCGATAGAACGGTCCATATAATTTAATGTTCGAAGCTTATTTCATGCAAATGTCCACTCGCTTAGTCCAATTTCGGCATACTCTTTCCAAAATTTCGGCCGGTATCTCTTCCAATGCGTCAATTGAAGCGGACTTGTCTGTATAGACAATAGATTTAACATTAGTCTCACAAAAAATAGTCTAAAGGCGTTAAATCGCCCGATCTAGGCGGCCAATTGACTGGTCCCAAACGTGAATCAAAATGTTCACCGAACTCAAAGATCAGTTCTGTTGACAAATGCTCGCAGTATATTGACTTTATGGAGCCTGCTAAAATGCAAGGATAGCAAAACAACAACAAAGATGTCGAACCCGTATCACCAATCGATGACAATGGATCAGACGTTCCATGACCCGACTATGGAGAAGTAAAACAATTGCCCTTTAGTAGAGCAACAAAGCAGCGGAAGCCGATAGTTTACCGGCTAAGCTATTCAAATATGGAGACAAAAAAAACTAAAGGAATCTTCATACTGAAGGGCTGATCCTACCGCCGTACGTTCTCACTCCCAGTGAATGTTGTGGATTCTCCCTCGGGAAACAGAGCAATTTTCTCCAAGCTAGGAGCCACATCCATTGACAGGTATGTCGAGAGAGGCACTCCAGGTGCAGGTTCTCTCCCCCTTTCTTTTGTGTCTCACAATCAGCACGCTGCTTTGCTTTGTAGTAAAAAAAAAACGGATTGTGATGCCGTGACATACGCTGACGACATTGCCCTCACAGCAACAGAAAAATACTGCCAGGTCCAGGGCTTCTGCCCCAAAATGCTCTTAAGTAGATTGTCAAGTTTACTCAGAACCTCTTGCTATTGGCTTAAGTAAGAGACTTCCAGACCTCTGCAGTGTCTCTTACAAGTGGAACTAGCCGCGATAACGGAAGCCTCTTCATGGTTGCTCGTTTCTAATATTTACGTAACTTCAATCTACTACAATATAGTCTGACAGTTAGGCTGCCGTTAAGTTTCTCCAATTCAATCATACCAACACAAAGTTAGCCATAAGATGCAGAATAATCCTAATCAAACTCACGACTATATTTTGGTCACTGGCGAAAGGTATATCCCAGGGAACTGTGTGGCCGACGAGCTAGACAGAAAGGTAACAGTCATATTTGTTGAGACTAACCTTCACCAGAAGGGCTAACAGCAGATGGCAGACAGCATTGTGACAAATCTGGCTATTAATGGAAGTGAGCAGCCCTATCACTTTACTTCTTCTGTACTCCCATAAGTTTAATTATCGGCGTAATAATGTCTTTTGGGGACTCACTGCTGCAGGGGCATATATGAAGAAGAATCGCTGGAACATTATCTCTGTCATTGCGCAGCTTTCAGTGCGTTCAGTTATCGTTTTCTCGGTAATTTCTTCTTCGATTGCCTTGCAGAGCTAGCATCTGTAGGCATCATCAATATTTTGAACTGTTGGAAAGATGAGAGGAATCTCCATCAGAGGCGCAGCTGAGCTATAGTAACGCTAAAAAGGTCAAAGCTTTCCTTTTTCTACTTCCGATCTTCGAAGCAACTATTGGAATCACTCGTACCTCATTTTTACACTCAACAATTTATTTTTAAAAAATGTAAGTTTATGCAATTGATATTAGTTACTACTTCTACCATATCCAAATTTAGAGTCGTTATTTTTCACACATTTCTGTTTCTGTTTATGTCTATATATATTTACACAACTTGACGTATGCGGAAACGTTAAATTATGATTTCTAGATGCCGAGTGGTTATTATAGCGCACTGTGAATTACAGGTAAGGCCACCGTTCGATTCCTGAGCCGAGCAGCATCCAAAAATTATAGCAAAATAATTTAAATAAAAAAATTGTGAACGCCCTCGGCAACGAATTTCAACCCCGCCGAGTGTACTTCTCACTCGAGGTGGCTTAGTATAAGGTTTAGCGCGATCAATTTGTTTGAAAAGCATCAAAACCTTTAACAAAAAATAAAGGAGAAGCTCCGCCAAAAATTGCTTAAGCGGTTACAAAGTGCCAATTATTTTTAAATGCCTACGTCAGGCGTCCGTTATTAACGTTAGACGCCTGCTTACGAATAGAATTAAAAAATTATCTAGAAATACGCGTATGATTAAAACTTAGCAATTTACTCTTTTGAATTTATTTTCAAATATTTTGTGTGCTTTTAAGTAGAAATTTTCCACGTTTTTACAATGCAAATGTGAAATTTTATAATATTTACATTTTATGTACTTTATCTCACTACATTATCGTACGATGTTTAAGATAACAATACATGTTAATATTTTGCTGTATATACTGGTTAAGAAAAAATGTTTTTATTTTTTTAAATGAATTGAAAGTAAATAAAGAGTTTAAACATACTCACAGATACTCACAAAAAATATTGTTGTCACCGATATTCTTAAAATATACCAAACTTTCTGTGGCCGGAAATTCTCTGTAGAATTTTTTTTTGCGGACTTTTGATAAAAAATTAAATATAATATTCATTGCGTTTAATGACCTCAACTAACTGACACTTCCTCAAAAAAAAAAAAAAAAAAAAAAAAAAAAAAAAAAAAAAAAAAAAAAAAAAACACTGAACGGCAGTCTTTAGCGATAATATTTTACTTGGGTGCTCGTGGACTACACTTGTGTCATATCTATTTCAGGGGTGAAGCTGGTATAAAATTCTAAAAAAATCGAAAAAAAAAATTTTTGTCTTAAAAGGTGCTTTAGGGTCTTTGAAATAACATACCAAAAGATGGATGCTGGCAAAAATGTCTAAATGCCCAAATTTTTCACTCGACGGCAGTGCCTCGCAGGTGTGCCCCGAGCGTCATACAACTTTTAGGCGCGTTTTTCTCGAAATCACCATTTTTAAACTGGCCGAAGACATAACTCGAACAAATTTTCACTGATTCTTACGAAATTTTGATAATACATTCGAAATACCGTTCTTCAAAGACGTACGTAGAATTCACACGAAAAACTTTATATTTGTACCATGAAACATATATTATTAAACCTTCCTTTGATTCCTTTGTTGAGTCAAAATAAATTCATAAAATATGCCCATTTTTTTGCGCTCTAGACCAGCTTCACCCCTTAAGCAAAGTTTTTAACAATTCTTGCTTGTTGTATTAATTTAAAAATCGCCTATTTAGCTTAACAAATAATATTCTCGGAATACTGTTAACATTTTAAATTTACCGGATATTTGTCTCAACACATTTTCAAGAACTATTCCCTTATCTTATCTTAATGACAAATTTTTGAAATGGCATAGAGTCATTCATAGGTGTTCTTATGGTTCATGGACGTAGTAATCTCTTAATACTTCATCGAATGGAAATTCATGACTCGAAGGAAATAAAAAAATCATAATAAATTGATATCATATTATTGCACTGTATTGTTAATTTTATCAATTTAATGAGCCATAAATTTATAACAGTTGATTTGCTGAAAAGTTATTAATTCATTCATGGGAGTGACTGTATTCATATATGTATGTATGTAAGCATACTTATTTATTTTATTTTTCATTTCATTTTACTTTACTTTTCTATTTCTTTTAGTACTATTTTATTAAATTTTTTATATCTTTTTTCCACTTCTTTTCATTTCACTTTATTTTTTTGTAGTTTTTTACTTTTTATTTATTTCAGTCTACTTTTTTTATCATCTTTAAATTTTTTTTTATATGTTTTCATTCCGTTTTGTTTAATTTTATTTTTTTAATTTATTTCATTTCATTTCATTTCATGTTCTTTCACTTTTCTATTTCATTTAGTTATATTTTTTATTATGATTTTTTATATTTGATTTCCATTTCCCTTCATTTTACTTTAATTTATTACTTTTAATTAATATTCATTTATTATTTTTTTAATTTCTTTATATTTTTTTCATTGTATCTAATTTTTGTTATTTTAATTTAATTTATTTTGGTTTTTTTTTTTGTTTAATTTCATATTATTTTTGCATAGTTTTATTTAATCTTTTTTATTTTACTTCATTTCACTTTACTTTTTATATTGTCGTTTTTCTTTTTAAATTTCTTTCATTTTTTATACTAATTTCTTTTATTTTTTTAAATTAAATTTATTTAATTTTTGTTAAAACTCTTTTACTTTAGTTTATTTTAGCTTATAATCTTTTATAATTCATTTTAACTTTATTCTCTTCAACGTTTTTTTTTACTTTATTTTATATTAATTAATTTTATTTTAGTTTTTGTATTATTGTTTTATTATATTTTTATTATTTTATGTATTCTACTTTAATAATAATATAGTATATTTTTTCATTTTATTTTATTTCTTTTTTTATTTAATTTTATTTTCATTTATTTTACTTCATCTAATTTTATATTTAATTTATATTTAATCTTATTTTTCATTTTATTTTCTTTTATTTTTTATTTACTTTAATATATTTTATTGTATACTTTTTTATTTATCTCATTGTAGAAATTACCGCCAAGGGAAGACGCTATGATAAAGGGTGATTTTTTTGCTGATGCCATCATTGCACCGTACTTCTTCAAAGATGATCCGGATCTTAACGTAACCGTGAATGGTGAGCGCTACCGTGAGATCATATCAAACTTTTTTTTAACCAAAATGCAAGAGTTTGACTTGTCACACAGCACGCGTAATAATGGACTTATTGAGAGGGGGCCGGTCAATTGGCCGCCTAGATCGTGCGATTTAACGCCTTTAGACTATTTTTTGTGGGGCTATGTTAAATCTATTGTCTATACAGACAAGCCCGCTTCAATTGACGTATTGGAGGACAACATTGAAGCATTTATTCGTGATATACCGGCCGAAATGTTGGAAAGAGTATTCCAAAATTGGACTAAGCGGTTGGACCATTTGAGGCGCAGTCGCGGTCAACATTTGCATGAAATAAGCTTCGAACATTAAATTATATGGACCGTTCTATCGACTCAAATAGAGATTTCATGCATTTTTCTAAACTTTATGTTTTTTTTTTTTTTTTTTAAATTTCCTACAGCTCTTAAAAAATCACCCTTTATTTCAGGAATGCGATCAGCAAAGCGTTGACCGGTTAACGGAAGCCAGATCAGAGCGTATACGCTGATACGAAGCATGCATACATATACAAGTATACAAATCTGAAAGATACACCGACGTGTATGTATGTACATGTAATATATAATTAAAAGTATGATCGACGCCAAATACTCTTTGTAAACAAGTTTTGAGCAAAGAAACTGCTTAAAACGAAAATTGAACAGTCAACACTTGAGAAATAACAAAACGCAAGAGCTACGTTTATGAGAGGGAGAGATAAGTGAAGCATTGATATTTCTTGAGCAGCAGACAACATTAAATTCATGCTCAAACATTTATACATACATATGTATGTGCATAGCATCCATATTTATGTAGACATATTGGTAAACGAACAACCAACCACCGAATCTCCAACCCACAATCTTTTCGACTTTGCGCTCTTGACTCTTGACGCTCGTCACAATAGCAGCTGCGAGTCCAACATACCGACGTCGCATTCAATGCAACGTATGTGTGTCTGCCTGTCTGCTGCTAACTGCTGCCGATCGCTTCAGCACTCTCGTGAGTGTGGTGTGAGCTCCACAGCCGCTGTGGTTAATATAGAATAAAAATTGTTAATAACAAAATAGTCGAAATTTTACAGTCGGGAATGTGTGTTCGTCGTAAAACGCTTTTCCGCCAAAAAAATATGTGTATATATACTTAGTATATATATATGTATGTATTTATAGTGTGTACAATAAAAAAATATTGAAGAGAAATTATAACAATTAGAAATACGCAAACAAAAAAAACCGCGCCTACCGAACTCGATCTAGAGGGCCAGCGCCGCTGATCGAGGTTGTGCGAAAAGCACCTATATATGTATGTATGTACATATTTACTCTTTATTATGGAATGCACGAGTGTGTGATATGAAATACATAAGCATGTTGGAAAATACGCTTGTGTCTACGCAACAAAACGCATATTGTAAATATACAGTGATGGCGAAAATGTGTGGAAACAAAAAAAATTTTGCTTTTCTTCCGCAAATAATTAAGTGCAAAATAAATTTATAATAAATAAATAGAAAAATACGCACACAAACATACAGTTCATATTATAAAGAAGGAGCATTACAGTAAAAAAGAGAAATAAAATAAAAAACTAAGTTGGAAATTTAGAAATGTTGTGTGTATGAACTTGTGGAAACGTGAACGTGAAAACAAAAAGAAATACGAAAATTTGCCAAGGAAATATAGAGTAATGAGAAAATAAAGTAAGAAAAAAATGCAAAAATAAAGGAAATAAATTCTTTATAAACTATATTACTTAAGATTGCATATATGTATGTATGTATGGATGTGTAAAAATAATATATGTATATGTGTTTACAATGTGTTGCCCTTGAATTTAATATTAAATAAACAAATACTCAATATATTAAATTATTGTATATGTACATATATGTACATACATGCATACATGTGTACATAGTATATAGACGTATGTATACATATATTACAATAGTATGTTTAACATATTCCAGTGGTGTTTTTCAACATCGTGGAAAATTTCGCAATAAAAAATTATTTATTAATTATGCAAAAATCATAGAAAAATAAAAAAGTGAAGACACTTCTGTAATTCTTTAAAGAAATTATTTGATTTAATGTTTAAAAATTCAAATCAATTATTTTATGTGGCATATTGTGAATAAAAAAGTTGTCGCAAAATAAAAATGTATTAAAAAAGTAAATAAAAATCAAAATTAAAATGCTAAGGAATTTTCACACCGAGATTTTGATTAACTTTTGACAACACAAAGTGGTTGTTAAGTTATTTTAATTATAGATATCTGTGTGCATGAGTTGAGCTAACAAATATTGATACTCACATACATATATATGTACATGTATAATTATTCTTGAACCTTCGTATTCAAGTTGTTGAGTTTTTTATTGCCTTCATCAGCCAACAAAAAGTCATTAGGGAGGCTTCATTGTATGAAACGCTGGCATTTATACTTATTTACAAAATGTCTGTCTATAGCCGGCAAGTAAATACGTGTACATTAAATGAACCTGATTAACACTGTTAATTTATTGAAAAAAAAATACGAAAAATAGAATATTTTCAAATATGCAGACAAAGGAAAACCAAAGAGATTGTGATGATCAAAATGTATTTATATAACATTAAAAAAACATATAAAATGAATAAAAACTACATATTAAAAGGAGTGGAGATAACATAATCTATTAGAAGATATTTAAACTGGTGACCATTTTGTTTAATTCATTATTTTGTAGGTTATGTATTCTCCTACAACTTAGATATGAGAGTTTTGTGTTTTATGTGTACTGTTTGAAATTAAATATATATATATATATGTATGTATGTGTGTACTTTCATTTTTTCACAAATAGTATTTTGCCGGCGGCTTTTTAAAGGAATTTCAATAAGTGTGAGAAACGGCGGAAGGAGATATCACTGAAGACACACTCTCTATTTTTCTTCAGAGAGACGCAAGGTAGTTTTCATTAGATATCTACGCCGTCGTCTAAAAAGAGAAATTTCAATACTCTCTTTAAAGCTGTATTTGGAAAGCAACAGAAAGTACCCTTGACACTTGAGTGTATCTCAAGTCAGATCCACACATTTTATTGCAAATAAAGCTATCCTAAACAAAGTCGTTTGCCGTCGGCTGTCAAAAAAATTCCAATACTGTCTTGAAAGTTTCCTTGAAAAGCAGCAAGGAATGTGGCTGGAATTTTGCTCTTTACTGCTTTTCCGAAGGTTTTCACGAAATATCAACACATCCTGGGTAATTATTATTTTGAAACATATCCCTAAACCTTGGGGGGCATGTTAATGGATGAACTGACGTGAGCATAATGAACATTCGACTATTATAAAAGGCTTGGATAGAGACAAAATATTTATCGAATTTTTTAAAGAAAGTTCTATTTTCAGAATATTTTACTGCATGCGTCAACTTTAGCTTAGGATCAATCCAAGCCAGAGTGTTCATAAACCGTAGTTAGGTCAAGCAGTCAAGCTAGGGGAGGAGTTAATTTAACTGCTACGCTATACCTATGTATTTCTTCAGATGAAATAACATATAGATCAATAGATACAAATAATTATTCATTTAAAGTAAAATATTTTTTAAATTAATAATATATAAAACGACCAGGGAAATGACCAGAGGAAAGGAGGAGGCACAGAAAAGACCACGTTCGGCTAAATATGGATGGTGCCGGAGTGTCTGAAATATGACTACGTGACATAAATATGATATAGTAGGTCAAGTTGGCTCGGTTTTTATTTAAGAGATAGCGTTATTGCCCATAGTACTAGTGTTACGTGTCGCATCATGCCATACTATACGACGCTGAAACCGTGTTATTCGCGCTAAAAGTTTGTCTTTGATCGTTTTTCGATTTCGTCATAGATGAACACCAGCTGTGTTTTAATTTATGGACCCGATATTGTATACGAACGTGTAGCCCAAAAGTGGTTTGCTGGGTTCCGTTCCGGTAATTTCGATGTCAAAGATGCACCACGCGTCGGTAGGCCTGTCGTCGAAAATTGCGATAAAATCATGGAAATAGTGGATTCAGACCGTCACGTGAACACTAATTTAATTGCTGAGGAACTAAAGATAAGCCAGAAAACCATTTGGAACCATTTGCATAACCTTGGATTCAAAAAGAAGCTTGATGTTTGGGTGCTACACGAACTAACGCAAAAAAACATGATGGACCGAATTTCCATCTGCGCATCGCTGCTAAAACGCAACAAAATCGACCCGTTTCTGAAGCGGATTGTGACTGGCGATGAAAAATGGGTCGCTTACGCCAACATCGAGCCCAAACGGTCGTGGTCAATGCTCGGGGAAGCGGCGCAGACGGTGGCCAAGACCGTATTGACGGCCAGGAAGGTTTTGCTGTGTGTTTGGTGGGATTGGCAAGGAATCATCTACTACGAGCTGCTCCTTTATGCCCAAACGCTCAATTCGGCTTTCTATTACTACCAACAAATGGACCCCTTGAATGCACCAATCATCCAGAAGAGGTCATCTTCGATCAATAGAGGCCAAATTGTGTTCCATTCTGGCCTGGTCAAAGAAAAGCTTGTAAAAATGTACGGATAAAAATCTCAAAATACAACACAATCTTATTATCTGTTGAATCACCTTGTAGAAAGGCAGTTGCTTACATACACATACATATATATAAATGCCCTTCAACATTTACTTTCCAATTCATATGACCGTATTTTCTCTCATTCATGAATATACTTATGTATATGTACATACGTCTGGGTATGTATGTAGAGGTCAATATACTACGTTATGTGGTACGAATTCATAGATTTTACATTGGCGAAATCAAACATCTACAAATAAACGAATTTCTACGAGTGTGTAAATTACTCTTTAAATTTATTTCAAATGAAAAATATTTTCGTACTCTTTTGACCTTTCAATTGGCAACAAATCTTTGGCAAAATACATAAAAAAAATCCCAAAAGGGTGCCACCAAAGCACATCTTAGTCAATACCTAAATTGAAACACACATAAGTATGTATGTATGATGATTTGTGTTTCCTTTTTTTCATTACTCAAACCTGCAACAGAGTCAAGACAATTTAGAATATTGTGTCTATAATACTGATAGAATATGCCCTTAAACCCCATGCTGGTCAAGCGAGTCTGAGAAAAAAATTAATATTTTTTCATTTTTAAGTTACTATGTAACGCTGAATTTATTAATTCACTCCCCAGTGGCCGAGCTTGTAAGATTTTTTTGTTCTTTCTAGAATTCGATAAGATGTTTTTTTCGACCTTTCCGATACCGTTAGACTTTTTTGGCCAAAATAGTATACAAATATATGTACATATTTTACGATAAAAAAAATGTTTGGTCCACAAAATTTCACTTTCATTTCTTTTTAATTTTTATCAAATTTCGATCAATTTATTTTTGCATTATTTTCATCTCACTCTAAACGCACCACTTCTTGTTGGTTTGCCTTCCCGCCGGCTGTATCAACAAGTTGCCAGCACACACACTAGTTGCATACACACATATTTAAATTTAGGAAATTATATTTAATTTTAAAAATTATTTTCCGGTTTGTTTTTTCTACCATAATTTTTGTTGTCGTGGACTTTGTGTGTCAGACACTATGCAAATAAGAATAAAGAGTGTGCAAAGAAAAAAATAACAAATTCTATTCAAAGTTTTCCATTTTTTCTCTTATGTTGTATTTCCGCACACATTACTGTCGATATAAGAACAATTTATTCATATTCATCCTTCTCATAAGAAAACCATCGGCCGCTCGGAGGCGGCTTTGTATAAACTGTACGTCCCTCCATTTGTTGGAACAACATCAAGACCCAAAAACACAAATTGGTAGAGTAGCTCTACGGAAAATCGCTTCAGCAGTTACAAAGCGCGAATTCAATTGCCTTGGCAACTAATTAAATATGCTGCGTTTGTTTGGTTTGTCTTGTCTTTTTTACTGTTTCTCTTTTTCCTAATTTTTATTTCATTTAATGTTCATAATATTTTAATTCCTTTTTCATATTATTTTTATTTTATTCTCATTATATTTTTATTTGCTTTCAATTTAATTTAATTTGATTGTCATTTTAGTTTTGTTTTCACTTTGTGTTTACTTTCATTTTATTTTAGTTTTATTTTCATTTCTTTTAATTTTATTTTATTCTAATCTTTTTATTTTTATTTGCATTGAAATTTGTTTTTATATTATTTCAATTCAAATTTATTTTATTTTCATTACATTTTATTTTATTTACATTCCAATTAATTTTTTTTTTATTTAATTTTGTATTTATTTTACTTTTTACTCCATTTAATTTTTTCTTCATAGTTTTTTTATTTTAAATTAAATTTAGTTTTTTTTTTCATTTCATTTAATTTTATTTTAGTCTTTTTTTCATTTAAATTTGGTTTTACTTTCATTTTCTTTTTATATTATTTCGATTCAAATTTATTTTATTTTCATTACATTTCAATATTTTTTTTTTAATTTAATTTTGTTTTTATTTTATTTTCTTAATCCATTTAATTTTTTCTTCATATTATTTTTATATCTTTTGATTTAATTTTTTTATTTTTATTTTAATTGAATTTAATTTTTTCATTTTCATTTTATTTAATTTTTACTTTAAATTAAATTTAGTTTTATTTTGATTTTTTTATTTTAATTTTATTTCATTTTATTATATTATATTTTATTTT